ATATGAACCTAAATTAGCTGATGCCGATGGACTTGTTGTGAGGATTGGTGACATTTGCGCATTGGTAGCTATTTACAGATCCCCATCTGTACATAATGTTGATAATTTTGTACAGTCATTACATGAGACACTATATGAACTTAAAAATGTCAAAACGCTGGCTGTGACCGGCGATCTTAATGTGGACATAAAAGATGGAAGTGATGATCCAAGATCTTCTAATTTCCTCACTGAGATGTCTATACATGGTCTTTTACCGGGTCATACACTGCCAACACGTGGATTGAACTGTCTTGATCATTTCTTTCTATCTGTTGGTAACGAAGCTGTAACACTTGTATGTGAACCCACCATAACTGACCACTCTCCTGTAATAGTTTCACTAAAGTGCAAAATAAAAGCAAATGATAGGTGCAAAACAATAATCAAAACTGATTATGGTAAGGTACCAATTCTGCTGTCTGGATGTGACTGGGAGGAGGTTATGCGGGAGTCGGATCCTGAGGAGGCCACTTGTAAATTTCTAAAGATTTTGTCAACTGTCTTAGCCCGTTGCACGACAAAATGTGTAATAAGAAATAGGAAGACTATTATCAGGCCTTGGATTACACCTGGCTTGCTCAGATGTATTAAATGGAGAGACAAACTACACCTTAAAGCAAATAAAGACCCTGACAATCTTATTTTAAAAGTAACATATACAAGATACAGGAACTTTTGCAATCGTCTGTTACACAACATAAAAACTGAATACGAAAGGTCTCAAATAAATAAATTCAAAAATAATGCTAAAAAAACATGGGAAGTTATACGACAAATTTCTAACACTGTTAGTGACACAAAGTCTCCCAAAGAATTGCTATCTATAGAGGGGACCCCTTTAGACTCGGTTAATCACGTAAATGGATACTTTAGAGATGTTGGAAGGACCCTTGCTGATAAAATAATCTCAAAATTGAACAAAAGTCAAACCGAATTAGCTGCTTCGATCACAGATACTTCTAGCCCACTGAAATCGTTTATGTTGCTTCCAACCGATGATTATGAGATTATAAAAATCATTCGAACTCTAAAGTCTACTGCATCGACGGGCTGGGATGGGATATCATCGATCTTTTTCAAGATGGGAGCTGAACACCTAGCGACACCGATATGCCACATCTGTAACTTATGCTTCTCTACCGGGACTTTTCCTAGGCTGCTTAAGAGATCAGTTGTTGTACCTGTCCATAAGTCCGGAGATAGAGACAGTGCCAAGAACTATAGGCCGATTTCACTTCTCCCAACCCTAGCAAAAATATTGGAGAAAGCAATTAACACTAGACTGGTCAATTACCTGGAAATCAACAAATTGCTTTCCCCAAACCAATTCGGGTTTAGAGAAAAGATGTCAACCACAGATGCAATTGAAAACGTAATTAAACACATTGTTAATAAACTGGACACAAAAAATAAGTGTATAGCTATTTTCCTAGATTTAGCTAAGGCGTTCGACACTGTCTCTATTCCCATCCTGACTCGCAAATTGGAATGTATAGGCGTACGAGGGATTCCGCTTAATTTATTTCAATCGTATCTTCGTGAGAGGACTCAGTGTGTCTGCATTGATGGTGTGCGGAGTGATAATTTGACTGTTGACTATGGCGTACCTCAAGGTTCAGTACTTGGTCCTACGCTATTTTTGATATATTTGAATGATCTTAGTCAAACAGTCCTAAAAAACTCGAACATAGTATCTTTTGCTGATGACACTGTGCTTCTGTTCCACGGATCAACGTGGGATGAGGTTAGGGAATCGAGTGAGAGCGGCTTTGAGATGGTCTTGAAATGGCTTGAAAACAATATTCTAACTTTGAATTTAGACAAGACAAAATATATGACTTTTAGTATCTATGCCAATACTCAACCAACGAATCTCTCTATAACTGCACATAGTTGTACCGACCGCACTTCATGTCACTGTGGGAAACTTTCTCCGGTGTCATCAATAAAATACCTGGGCATAACTATAGACAGTAATCTCAATTGGAAAAGCCATATTGACACGCTCGGGAAAAGAATTCGAAAATTAATCTGTATCTTTAAAAAAATTAGACATATAAAAGACCCAAACACTATCAAAACCGTATATTACTCATTGTGCCAATCACTGTTAACCTATGGTATAGTGGCATGGGGCGGAGCCAAAAAATCTAATCTCATCAACATAGAGCGTGCACAGAGGGCCGTTATTAAAGTTCTACATTTTAAACCTTTCCGTTATCCTACGGCTAAACTTTATCAGGAATTCGAGGTACTTACGGTAAGGCAGTTGTTCATAAAGGCTGCGATCCTACACCAACATCGATTACCACAACCTACAATTATATCAAGGAGACGTGTGCCTCCTGTTTTTAAGGTACCGGAATTCAAAACTTTGTTCGCACGCGATTTTTTACCCTATCTGGGCCCTTGGCTGTATAACAAAATTAATTCTGCTTTTACTTCTATTCGGGATGTAACGTACATAACATGCAAAAAAATTATAACAACCCTACTATTAAAACTAGATTATGAAGCTACAGAGAAATTATTGAAAATATGAGGCATATTACTGACTATATATTTTATATTATCTACATTATATAAAACTTTATTAATTATTCTATGTACGCTATGATTTAAAATGGCGATTTTGTAGGTAGGTATATTATTACGTTATCATATTATTAAGTATTAAAATATCATACTAAAAAAAAGTATTTTACTTTGGCGTACTCAAATATAATAAATAATATGCATTTATTTCGTCTTACAAATATTTTAATTAGATAAAAATACTATACATAGACCCTAAATTATATTATCATTATATCCTTTTGCTCATAAACTGCATCATTTGGTTGACACAATATTTTATTTTATCACAATAACTAATTTGTTTATAAATATTACACATTCGAGTAAACCTAGCGAATGTGTACTGTCTGTTTTGATTGTGCTATGTGGCTATCATGGACGACGTGCTGTCACTACTCTGCCGCAACACAGTTTTATTACTAGCGCGGAGGGTAGTTGTCAATCTCGCCTACCAATGTACTACATAAATTTTTAACATGTACCTTATTTAACATCACGATTGTGTTTTGGACAAATAAAGTTATTACCTTTTGGCGAAATCAGAATTTTTACCTATTTGCCATTTGATTTACGCAAGTTATAAAAGTTCACAGATTGCTACATGAAATAAATAATGTGCCAAGGTTTAAAGCAATATATAGATGATTAATAAATACAAACGAGGCTCTAAAATTATTAAAATTAATTTTGAATGATGCATATTTTTTAAAATGATTAATAAACTTTACAAAGATGTTACATGCTAATAATCTTTGAGTAGGCACTAGGTAGTTTAGATCTTTTACAGATAAATAATAAATCCATTAAACATTACAAGTAAAAGCAGAAACTTTAATTAGACTTTCTCTTCCAAATATGTTTGATTTATCAATTTAAACTTTTTAATTTAATGGAAGTGAAATTACGGGATTTGTTCCAAACATGCACTCGCGTATAGTTTTTTTTCAACTGTACATACATTAACTTAAGTTGGGCTCATACATTACTGCGGCAATATGCGTCACCGTGCGTTGGTTTTATGAATTCGTAATGGATTTATACAGATGTAATATTAAAAGTGATGATGATGTAGATTTAATACTTGCTTCGTCATTCATCTTAGGGCTCGCTAATTCACACAATTTAGATACAAAAGATAAACGTCCAGGTCGTTAGTGCGAGTGGATCTTGACCTGCAACGTCCGTACTGCAGATTGAGGATTGAAGTAGGAGCTGGCGTCTCGCCAAACCACTGTTTGCAGCATCTAGTATGGACGGACCATCAAGCTGACTGCGGCATCTTATCTTGGTAGAATAAGAGCTATTTTTCAACAAAAAAGTTTGTGACGCTTCAGACTGTAAATCGGACATTATAGACCCGAGTCTTACGCCCGTATTCACAAACGATGCTTGCTTAAGTGAAGCAGCAAATCAAACGCACAGCGTTGAATAGAGCTCTGTGATTTGTTCGTGTGTCACCCTGTGCATTCACGCGTACTGTGAGACCTCATAGTAAGCACATAATGTAACACATTAATAAACGTCGCGTTAAGACCCGTGTTTTAGTTGAAATGGAACGCGAAAGTTTAGAATCTTATATCTCATAGTAATGTTTGTGAATACGGGCGTTAAATTCCTACCACTACTCGTATTTATCAACTTCTCCGTACCGTAAAAAGTGCTTTTTGCACAGCAAAGTTATTAAACGGTCACTGATTTTAGGTACGTTTGTTCTGATTACTTTTTATTGCGCCATTTAATAATGTGGCTATATAATTTGAGCAGTGTAGTCAACTTCATACAACAAACGGGAAAACTTTATAGACATAAACTTAATAGACGTGAAGACCTAGATAGATCGGATAATCATAGCCATAAAGCTTAGACTAAGTACTTGTGCTCTTGTGCGGTTGAAGAAACTTAAGCACCGAAGTAAAGGGTTGTAAAAATAAAATCTTTTTAGTGACCGGATGGTTTTATCCCTTCAGTCTTAGGTTTTAGTTGGTGTTTCTTTTTATTTACCATCTAAGTAACTAATGTAAAACTAATAATATGTATGTGAAAACAAAACGAATTCATTTTCAAATCCTTTTGTGTTTCTAGCTCAGTGTTAGGTATATTATTAGGTTGTAATGAAGATATTTGTATTCAAATACCGTGGCCCATCTGCACACTCGATTATGTTATAATAATATTGCCTTTTTCCCTACATTGAATCAGGTATTTTCAGTAACTTTAACCGACCGAAGAGAATGTAGGCTGAATTTTAATAATACATGATAATGTGGGCTTAATTTTAATAATATCTTCTTTAAATTGTTATTTTAAGAGTCTTTCTCTACAAAAGCCTTTTTTAAAGTTTTCAGCTACAATATCAATTGAAAATGTTTCTTATTACACAGGTACCAAGTGCTATTCTTCGTGGTCACATACGCGGTCCCAATGCTGGGCATGACGTTCTTCTACTCAGCAATGGGCAAAGTTTTATGGGGGTCCGGGTCCATCGGGGAACTGACGCAGCGACAGGTGGACTCGATACGATCGAAACGAAAGGTTAGTTAAGCCTTGGGCAGACCAAACGCGGGGCAGTAGCAGCGCAGTTTGAATACGGGCCCGCGCAAGTTGTAATACAAGAAATTCTTTGAAGTGTGTCACACCAAATTTGAACGCGGGCCCGCGCTCCAACCGCGCCGCACTGCAACTGCCGAACGACAAACCAGGCGGTGCGGGAGCGGGACAGAAGCGGCGCGAGCGCGGGCCCGAGCTGTTGTATTACTATGGCGGCCATATTAGCATGACACACCGGAGGCAGGGCGGTAGCAGCGCGTTGAAAGCGGTTTTCGAATATTGAAATTTTTGACAACCGCCCGCGTTGTAACTGCTTTGAAACTGCGCTGCTTTCAGTGTGCCTACTGCCGCGCTGCAACTGACCCGCACTGCTTCTGACCCGCGTTTGGTCTGTGGAAGCCTTTATTGTTTGGTACAGTTAGCGTCAAATAGTTTGTGATACCCAAAGTGGCCAAAAAGTTGACCTTATTCCAGTTGTAACAAAGACGTGTTGCGAACTTTTTGGCTACTTTGGGTGTCATGAATTATTTGACTCTGACTGTAGTACTATGTATAGGTACTTTAACGGGCAACATCAGAAGGTCGTTTGCTACATCAGTTTTAAACAATAGGGATAACATCAGAGGGATGATTGCAAATTTTATTCAGAGGAGTTGTTGAAGCTTACGTTTTCTTAATAAAAGTTGTGTTTTTCGTGGCTCGAACGAATATTAAATATGCTTTTTAAAGATAGAATGCACAAATTACCACATAATATTTGAGAACGTTTATTTTTTTAATAAAGATGTTATATTTTGTGAATGTTCACGCACCTATCTCAGAAAGTAGAGTAGAATATTTGATTGAGAATGAAATCACCACTTTACGCAGATTACATTTAAATATTACCTACTTGCATTTAGTTGATCGAGCATACACTAAATATATTCACACTAGTGATGCTACATGCCTTTAGCAAGTGGGCAAGTGATACCACGAGTATGTTACCGATCGGATATTGCATCTACCCCGGATATTGGCAGCAGCTCAATTCACCGTATAACTCGTTAGGTATGTGAGGTATGTGTGAATTTGGATAAACACAGGTGCTAGGAACATTCGCTAAATGTTAATTAGTGAATTTACTTAACAGTAACAATAGATTCTGTCTTCCAACCTTGATAACATTATATTATAGTCTTTTTAACCATTTTTTCGATCCAATCGATCAATGTGGAAAGCATTAGGGGAGGCCTATGTTCAGCAGTGGACGTTCTATGGCTGACATGATGATGATGATGATGATGAACCATTTTTTGTTCGTTGATATTTCACTCTTTGTTGTGTTCATTTGTAGTTGTCCATACGCTTAAATTACTATTAATTCAATAATTTTGAAAATCTTACCAAACTGGAGCGTATGTTCAAAGAGTGCGTCTCACTCTATTACTTTGAAGTTATAATATTGAGATTACTTTTTGTTATTATGATAGCAGACTCTGTGTATGTGACATATCAAAGTCAAGAAAGTAGATTGCGTGGGGTGTAACAACCGAATTCAATCCTCGTGCAAAATTTAATGAGTTACCATAGGCATTACGCATTACTAGAGAAAGCTGATTTGAGTACTTTTAACAAGTCATTTAATGTGAAGAACGGAAAATATTTTAATTAAACCAAGAGCGATAGAATGAAACGGGAAAAGGCAGTTATTATCGGAAAATGGACAGCTATTTACAATTCGTTTGGAGACATGGACCAATTGGAAGCTGAAATAAAAGGCATGTGAAAGGAAATACGGAAAGTACCTGTGCAAAGTAAATCACACTGTTATTTGAAGATATTATGAATCTATACCATAATATCAGTATTTGTGAATAAAGAGGTTTTCCGCAGTAACAAAGTCCCGTCAAGTCGCTCGAGTGAGACTCATTAAGTCGTTAGTAGATTTAAGACCCTTTTGTGCAAAGCAACATTTCATTTTGTATCAATAGACATGTAAAATCAATAGTGAAACTTTGTAATATGAATGAGCTTCACGCCAAGCGCTATGAATTGAAAACTCGACACCACCTTTTATTAATTTCTGAATAATATGCTCAACTTTCCACAATATAATATGAGCAACTTTGTATATATTAACTTTATCTACTGTATGTTAAAAATCCTGGCCGCTCCAAAAAGAAGTTATTTTTATAAGAAGTTTTCTATTATGGAAATCGAGATAATGTCCTTTGTTCGAGTATGATTCTCAAGAATTTCTTTTCGATAAATAATGCAAATCAGACCCTAAGCCTTCTTTATTCATATTTTATCATGTTGATGTTATAAATCTAGACATACTCATACTCCTGAGTGGATCAGCTTTTAAATACGTAATAGGCCGATTTATCATGTACCAATAAAATAAGGCTTTATCCTTGGCTTTATTTTATTACCATTCTTTCTGCTAGTATCATATTGTTCGTAAATCTATTTGTACGACTTCTTTTTTTAAGTCTTGTACTATAATTTTATCATTTTTTGAGTCTAAGATACTACTAAATTTAATGCATTCATGGTTTAAGGTATAAAGTGAAAACAAATATGTTTACTTTTGACTCTCAATCCTAATCTCATATGAATATTATGTAAATAAAAGCCATTATAATACAGCAAACAATATAATCGCATTTCGTATGTATACCGTCAAGCTTCTGACACACAGCTATAGTTCCAAAATACTGTACCTCTAGTAGGACCTAGTAGTCCCCCTAGGGCGGCTATAATATAGGGGGCGCTGTTTAATTTTTCATACAAAATTTTTCGATGACACTTTGAATACGCAACGAAACGAACTCGAAAGTTTTTCCTACTAGAGGTACTGAACTGTCCTATCGATGACATTGACAGCGGGGCGCCACCGTCAATACCGAATCGCTGGTTCCGATTTTTGCCATGTTTGAAACCATATAGTTGAACGATGGTAGCGCCCCCCTGTCATTGAGTTTGGCGGGACAGTTCAGCGTGGGTCATCTATAGCGTGACTTTAGCTTGACGTGAGCAAACAAATTGTTTTTTTAATATTGTGTTTCACAGCTTGGGATTTGGAATTATCCTTCTTTAATCCCATTTTATCACAATATGCTCTGTTTTTTTACTGCATCGTGTTATGATTCTTATGGACCCACGACCTCATAAAGGTAGCAGAAAGGCGCGGGATGCAGGCCACCATCAACCGGCCATTGTGGAAATCATTGGGGGAGGCCTATGTTCAGCAGTGGACGTTCTATGGCTGAAAATGATGATGATGATGGTGATGATGATGATTCATATGAGTTAAAAAATCCACCATTGTCTTTTTCTTTTGCCGAAGTCATCAAAAAGTTAAAGCAATCCAAATTAGAAAAGACATCATGCCGCCTACACGCCAGCTGTCTTCCATTGGCTTTACTCATGTGTAAAGTTTATCAACTCTAAAGTTACCATGTTCTTTGTCAACAGGTAGTCAAGATGTTCATCCTAGTGATAGTGATATTCGGAATCTGCTGGCTGCCGTATCACAGCTACTTCATCTACACGCATTTCAACCCCTCAATACTGTACATGAAGTACGTCCAACACGTGTACCTTGGCTTCTATTGGCTGGCGATGGCCAACGCCATGGTCAACCCCATCATCTACTACTGGATGAATGCCAAGTAAGTATTTTTAATTCACTTCTATGTCAGTTTGTTTGCTAACAGAATGTTACAGATCCGCGGTCAGCGGAAAAAATTTGGTGTGCGGTTTGGCAAGCGATTCTCTTACTTCGTTAATGAAAATGTTCTATTTAACTTTCGCGAGTCTAGATTGTGCCTACCCGTGATAAGTCACGTCTAGACTCGCTAGAATATGAAAAGTTTCCTTTTTTTTGTCGCGTAGGAAATTCTTTGCGCACCGTTACCACTGCCGGGGGACAGGGTGGTGTGTGGGACTCCCGGCGCCCTAAAAAGGGGGCTGATCCGTCCTGAAAAGGACGGGGTATACCCACTAAAACTTCCGCGGCGTTCCGTCATCGCCCGAGTGGGGATGTCGCGAGTATCCAGCCATAGCCTTAGACTTCAGCGGATGAAAAGTTACCTGTTCTAACTTCAGCAACTCCAATAAAAAATAAAGGCTCTGTAATCGTTTGAAAATATAACTCTGCAGATCCATTATTATTGATTCTAGTCTGCAAGAACAGTAACGAGATTTATTTTAGGAAAAAAGCATGATCGAGATTTCAATTTTCTTGCGATCGGAGTAGGATATTGACTGTTAGATTGAATTCAAACAGATTTGTTTTTCGAAGAGTCATTTGAAAGTTAAAGTGAGAGACTTTATTTCATCAACTAAGTTTATCCTATAAGAAAATTTTGACTTGCCGATTTAGGTATGACTTAATTGATTTTATTTTGATCTTTGTTTTTATTACACTGTTTACGGTTACGTACTTATTACTTACAAAGTTTTTATTATTACGGGACTATTTCTACCTCTTACTCCCATCGCTGCAGCTCCTGTGTAGCCAGGATCTACTTACATCTTGACCGGCAATAGGAACCTAATCAGTGAAGGTCAAGATTGTCCCGGGGGAAAGTTAAACTGTCATTGGACCCGCAGTCGAACCCTTAACTTCAAACTCCTCCTGTTCATCTGATTAAAGTTTTTATTATTGAGTAACTGAACTTGAAAATATTTGATTGTGTTTATACGAGTTGTTTCCATCTGATAACTTTGAAATTGCGAAGGCAGTCATCAGCCGATCGATCTATTTCCAGTATCAGTTTTCGGATTAATCTTAACGCGCAATCTTTCAGGAAGTCACGAGGTTATTTCTCTTAGTGAAGATGTTATTCCAAAATACAAAAAGATTAAAATGTAAGTACTTCTGTATAAACTTTTCGTCAACCATTTTTGGGCTTAAAGTAACATAGTGTTAATAAAATTTTATTAAAATAAGTAATATGGTCGCACTCACTCAAAATCCTAAAAGCACCCAACGTACGCAAATTTTCGCGTACGTAAATGATGTTAAAACAATATTCCCCAACGATTCGAGCACGTTCGGATCATATAAGAAGGCTGACTTTCATAAATCTACTGACAGGATGTGTATTGGACGGTTCAACCGAGCGATAACGCGAATCGACAGAAATGTCGGCTTCAAAAGTATCCAGTGCTATTCCTACAGGTGTAAGGGACAGGTTAACAAAGAGGTTGGTAATTGGTAATAGAGATCCGATCATGCTTCTCAGAAATTCCGGTGGTTAAAAAATAGTTTCCAAGAAAGACTAACCAACCATGGAGATATTAAAAGTAACGAAAATTTATTATGGTATTTTGTTCAAGTTCTTGCTTAACTGTCGCTAATAGTCTATAATTTACAAGTTTGACAAGCGACAAGGGACGAATAAGAACTGTTCTACGAATTGCTAAAATTATAACAATCGAGATATAAGTCTACAAGTTGTTTAGTCGTGTTATTCTGTAAATAGAGCTCAGATGGCTTAAGGCAATTGATTTTATATTGTTGTCTTACTCAATGATTAACTTAGGGGATAAATTGGATCTTAATTTATTGTGAATAGTGTCTGGCTGAAAAATAAAATGTCTTAAAAAGCACTGAAGTAATGAAAGTGGAATTGACGTCAGTTACAAACCCATGACCTTTTAAGTTAAATTGAATAGGCATCTCCTAAACAAGCTCGCTCATCGATCAAACAAACTTCGTATCTTCGAATGAGATTGTGATCAAAAGTCAGATTCAATACATAAAAGGAGTTTGATCTATCAATGCTTTCGTTGAGATTGATTTGAGTTTACACTTTAACGATCAGGGTAAAGAGGGCTCTATAGTTTATGCAAAAAATCTATACGAGCCGAAATGGACGATTCTGGTGCTCAAACAGAAACGTTCTGATCGTCGATAATAATATTAAATAGTTGATTCATTCTTGCTGATGCAGATATTACAAATTGTACCTACATATGAGAGGTGACATAATTTTGCTATTTTGTAATTGTGATAGGTATTGGTTTGGTCCCTTAAAAAGTACAATTGTAAAATAACTCCTTTTCGGGTCAAACAATAGGTCTTTATGTACACCGTGTATAAATAATGAAATTCTTATAATGTTGACTTCGAGTGTTTAAATAATCCTCGTAACCCACCGAGTCCCGACGTAAATAAACTAAAAGGGTTTCGTTCAGGTTCACGTACCTACAGCTTAAAACGGTTTATTGACAATTTGAAACCGAATAGTTTTATATGAGTGACCTAGTTCTTTCTGCCGTTTGTAGTTTAATTTACGCAGGCGGAGATTAGGACAGATGTAGAGATTTTATTTTCAGAAAAAGTACTTACTTTTACCACGCTACGTTTTCCAGCCCGTAAACGTAGCGTGGGCAGGCCTCCTACTAGGTGGACCGACGATCTGGTAAAGGTCGCGGGAAGAGCCTGGATGCGGGCAGCGCAGGACCGTTCATTGTGGAAAACCTTGGGGGAGGCCTTTGTCCAGCAGTGGACGTCATTTGGCTGAAACGAACGAACGAACTTACTTTTACAGGTTGGGTTTCATTAGAAGTCATATAGGAGTGGCAGTGGTGGGAAAAAGATGTAAAAGAAGTTAGTTCCGTTTAATCCGCGAAAATGCTTTAAAGTTTTTGAAGATGTACGCTTAAACCACTCAACCAATTTGTGAATGAAATTTGACACAGACCCAGGAAATAGCAGGCTAGTTTTTGGAAGCAGGACCCACACGCATTTAATTAAGGCTTTCTGTAATAGATCGGTTTTCTTATGCCTAAGGAAACTTAACCTCATATTTGTTACAGGTTCCGAGCGTACTTCCGTACGGCTATCCTGTGCCGGTGGCGAGAGGCGTTCCGGCGGCGCAAGCGGCCGCTGCCCGAGTCGCCGCCGGACTGTGTCTCGCAGTCCGGCAGCCGATCCCGATCAGGTTTTTACTCGTTAACGTAATTATGAAGTGATATCTTTGGTATCGTTATCAGTGCACGCGTCATGATGTTGTCACTGTTTTTGAGCTAGGTTTAGAGCGCTTTCACATATAGGTGGTTTTGTCGACTGTAGCGCTTCTAAGTCGTGCCGCAGTAGCGCGACTCGTATCCATACATAATGTGTAGCGCAGCTGCAGCTGAAGCAGCTGAACGCTGAGCAGAAGCACTAAAGTCGCGCGACAAAAACGCCTATACATATGTGAAAGCGCTCTTAGGCCTGGTTCAGATACGCGATAATTGCGCAGTTTCTGGGTGGTTTTCATTGGCAAGACACTGAGATGATAACCGTGCGGTTACTGTTTGATTAAAATGTACGAGAACTGCCCATTAATTGCCCATCAACCGCGCAATTATCACTGTGTCTGAACCAGGCCTTAAAGCTTTAACATACCAGCGTTTTGTCCAGCGATTTCCGGCGAGTTATTTAGAAACAACAGTGGATAGAATTTTCAATTGTTTCGTTACACGGCGTATAAGCCGCTTGCATTCTGTAAAATCACCGGACTAATCGCTAGTATGAAAAGGCTTTTACGTCCGGAGTCTGTACTAGCTGATAAAGACAATTGTTTTGGGCCTTTCACAGTACCTATTGTACAAAGGTACAGTCACTACACACCAGACACAACAAAAGTATGATATGTATTTTGTTTTCATAGCATTCAGTAAATGTTATTTATTTTAAACTTGAGTGAATAAAGGCTAACCTTTAGATCTATGTAAAAAGGCCCGTTGTTATTTAATCGACTCTTTGAGCTAGCTCGGATACCGGGGTCTGGAATAGTAATAACATTTGCAAAAAATAACTGAAATACAAAGGGTTATAACGAAGTTTTTGAAGATCAACTTCTGCCAATATTATTACTAATTCTATTGGTAACGTACTTAAATAATACTCAAAGATTGTTCTTTCGCGATTTATTAAATAACATTAAATATTATGTTATCATGATAAAATTAAAAATAAATGCTGAACTAAGAACCGAAGTAAAAGTAGGCTTGTCACATTTGCAGCAAAATGGACGACTGGTTCAAAAAGTTCTTGAGTAAAGACAGTCTTGGCAGGTGTGACATGGTACGACGAGTTTGCGAACTTATAAAATAAAAGTAAACCGAGATTTTTATATTGGAGTTATTTATATGCCGCGCAGGCATGAATTGTTGGAAGCCTATATCCTTCTAAAAGTATATGTGAGCGGCTTCTTGCATAAAATATTAGAATGAACCTCATTCCAATAAACATTAAGACCATGTTTCGTGATTAATAGTGACGTTCGTTGTATCTATTTCGAAATCAATAATTGATGGTCGCAATAACATGCGATAACAAAGCTATAAATTTACAGAAGCTTTACATTAACGTTCAATAACATGTGGGAATCATTTAGGACCAAGGAACTTTGAGTAATATTTTAGTATGCAGATATACTTAAACCTAGCTCTACAACTCATGCGCGTCTTATAGGTTAAATGGTTTTTATTATCACATACAATGACATTTGAGATCGATTCCAAAATGCTTACTATATTTTCTATAATGATGAATTGAAATTTGTAATACGTTAAAAACGGCAAAACCCAATCACTAAGGCTGAGTTGCACCACCTAACTTTGACAGTAACGGTAACGATAGCCGGTGTTTTTTGTATGGAATTTGACAGATTGTTGACGTTTGTCAAAGTTAAAGTAAGATGGTGCAACCCAGTCTAAATGTTGGCGATATTTAAAGTTTGACCTCGGTATTTTTCTTTTAAGAACGAAAACACTTTAACGATCCACATGATAATAAAATAGTAAAATTTCGGAATCGAACATCAACATCATTTTCCTGACACAAAAATAAAATCATAATATCTGTTTTTCCCTGCAATCTTAAAAGTCATAATAACAAAATTATGTATCTACCATTACTTTTTGTATACCCACTGAAAATATATTGTAACTGGTATTCGTTTGCCTTTTTTAAAATTTATTATTCTGTACTTAACCTGATCCCATTTACATAATCCATACTACTCCTATTTTAAATATAAAAAAATCTCTTATAAGGCACAAAAACAGTAACGGATCAATATCAATCACATTTATAGTTTGTGGAATACGATACTTTTTACCACGAAAAAATTCTCAATCCCACGGGAAAATTTAAAACAACACGATCGTAGCGGGCTGATAGTTGTAAGAAAAGAAATACACATACGGTCTTATTCATAATAAAATGCTAATATAGGTTTAAAACCTACATTAGCTAAAACGTTTGATAGGCTTAAAACACTCTTATAAACCTCTGATAAAAAACGTTATTCATAATCGTTTATAAACCTTTGATAGCTAAAACAGAGTTTAATATTTTCTTTCCACAGACTATACAAAAAGAATGAACGAAAACAGCTTTTTTGGTGATTTAACTTGATGGACCATGTAAAATCATAGACAAATCGCAGAAAAAAAAAACAAAAAATTGGCAGCTGTGACGTTTTACTTACTGACATTGACATTTGGCACGAAAATTTAATAAAGTTTTCGGTTTTTTCGATCAACTCCCAAGTTTTATCAAACTTTTATAAAACTTGGGATTGTATGTTCTGGATTCTGTACCTCTTACCCTGTNGATAGTATATTTCTTTTTTTTTGTATCAAAGTGATCCGAATTATTAGACTCATGAGTAATTATTTTAACAAACTTTAATGAACTCTCCAAAACGATAAAAATATAAATATAGGTACCATAAGACTCTAGTTAAGAAGTATCATTAAATTAATAGAAACCACTTGTTGATAGAATAACAGATGACTGTCTTATAAATAAAATAACAAAAAACTTAGGTATATCCGTGTTTCCTAAGCTAATTTAAACATGATTACTGATGGGGTTACAAAAAAGGCTCAGTAATATTTACAGGCATGTTTGCCCATAAACGCGGGTCGCCGGGATGAAAGAATGAAGGGAAAATGCGAGCTGATATAAAATACAAGACCCTAAACTCCTTAACATAAAACATCCAACAAAATATCTTCCGGCTTATATGATCGGAGGCTGTAATGTATCCCTAAATCATGATGACTCATCAGAAACTCGGGGTTTGCTTAATAAGTTTATCTGAAAAGGGTTCCCTGTAGCACGCTTTATAAAATCCCCAAGAAATGCATCATTCTGAAGTAATAAGTCATACCAGATTTTAAGTATCATAATGGTGTGTAAATAATGGTTCGGTATCCTCACTACAGCTCTCCCTGTTTTCGTTTTTCTTAAAATCAAAACCAACACTATTACTGTATATTTTTTTAATAGGATTTTGTTGTATTAAAAACGAAAGGAGTCGTAACTCCAGAAAAACAGCCATCTGACACACTCTCTGGCACACTTTAAGAGGAACATTTTATTTTTATTTGTTTCGAATTGTTTTTTAGGTCCATGATCCGAACAGACAATGTTAAATCCAAAAGAAATGATTCAATGTTTACCTTAAAACCTCGCACCGTACACAAGTTGGATTGTGTATACATTTTTAATAAACAGAACGGGCAATAAAAACAGGCATGTAACAACACGATTGCTGAATCGTAGTATTCCAAACAATACTATTGTTCGTAAGCGCCAAACAAAAAATATCGTTTCTATATCCTTGCAAATAAATGGGAAAGCTTAGGTCTCGATAAATCCGGACCTGAAAAAGCTTTCGATGGCTAGTCAGCAAAACTTTTATGTATTGTTTTTCGTGGAAAACGAGTTTTGGCGTGCTTTGGTGGAAATACAATAAATGCACACATGTTTTTGTTAAACATTTATTTTATATGTAGGTAGGTACTAACTTTTGCTTACAGTTCCATCTCGGGAACTTTTGTTCGTGAAAGAAAAGCTTTCGTTCTGAGAAATGCCCTAGAATAATTATAAAAATGTCACTGGTTTAAAGCTGAGTAATATTGTAAACTTTTATTTAAATTTTTAAACACAGAGATTTATTTGGTTGTCACATTTTTGTGCTTTATACCCTTTAGTTAGACCTTGAACTGAAACTGTAAGGTCTGAAATCTTGCAGTCTTGTTGTACACATAAACAAACTGAAGTGGACACAAAGAAAATAATTACTTCATATTCTGGTTTGAAAAATATTTTACTTTTATAAGTCCGTATAAGCTGAACTGTGCCAGTTTTTTTAACAATCAAAAGCATCACAAAGACGTCTGCACTCCTACAGTCAACATGCCAACGCCTATTCATTCACGCCTGCTGCTCTTTCACAATTTTTGAATGGACGCCAATGAAAAGAAACGTACCGTTCTACTGCAATATCATATAGTAGCTAGAGTAGATCTTTAACAGGCATATTATCGAAAAATAAAGACATTATATCGATAAACATATCCATAGTTCTTTGTCTGGTAGTGAAATTAACAAAATCTATCTATCAAAGTTTTTACCTGAACCAAAAAAAATTATTATGAGTAAAAATATTTTTGGAGAAAAAATAAGGCATTGTCTAAAAATGCTAAATAGAATGGTAATTTCAAAACGGTGTCATTTTTCAATCAGAGATTATCGCTAAATATAAGAAATAATTTAGAGAAAAAATACACAGTTAGGCTGAGTTGCACCACCAAACTTTAACCGTAGCTATAACGATAACCGGTGTATTTTGTATGGAGTTTGACCGATTTTTGACGTTTGTTAAAGTCAAAGTAAAATGGTGCAACCCAGCCTATATGTAACAGATTAATAAAGCGGATTACTATCTATATGCTTGTTCGCTTTCTACAGTAGATTGTTAATCGGCAACCCTAACAGTGATTCAGAGTAACACTGAGCTTAAATAACAGAGGAACAAACTGAAAATGTAAACGTGGCTACTGGCTCTGGATTGAATATTGATTTATTTCAGTTATGTCGATACACTATTGCAGGTATCGCGAAAGTGGGTTGATCATTGCCGAGGGTTAGATAACCGAGATTGCTAACGTTTTGAGTAAAAATACATGGTCTATCCAATATAGCTTGATTAGAATGACGGCTGTCAAACGAATGTGACTAGTGCTGGGTATGTTTCGGTAGTTTTAGAAAAAATGTTATAAAAAAATGCACCCAATTTTTCTTCATATCTTTATTCATAAAAATGACAATTATGATTTAAATTTAAAGACAGTAAAATTTAAAATTCATGTCAAGGGTGTACAACCTAAGTCGTAGTCATTTTATCATCAGTGTTCTTCAGTGGTTTTTTCCTCTCGCTAGAGGGCGGTGGGCATCTCTTCTAGAGCAACGGTGCTATGAATACCCAAAAAATTACCGGTGATTGATTTCCGATGTTTGATTATTTAAGAATGAAATGTTTTTTGGTTTTTAATAGTGAACATTTAGAAAAACGTATAACTTGACTTAAATATGTTAAAAAATTAGTTAGAAAAAAAATTTGTTAAATATGTTAAAAAAATAGTTTTAATTTAATATGACATTTGTCGATATGTCCCAACACTAACATTTTTGTAACTCGAGATAACCTTGTAGAGACGTCGTTAATACTCTAGCTTGATTTTTATAATTTTGGGTTTGGTTCAATTTTAATTTCTGTGATGGGTCTGGGTGTTAATATGTATAATAAGTTTGTAAATACAAAAAAAATGTATTTAAGTATGTTTATATCCGTTTTCTAGTGAGCGGATACTGTGAATGTACGTCACGCGGGGTCACGTGACCGTCAGCGGCACTCAATATTTAAGCGAACTTTGAATGCCTATAAAATCATAACTACTGGGTATTTTTGAATGAAATAAAAACTAATGTATTTGTAAATGTAAAAGCCTAACTGTAACATAGGTTTCAAGTGATTTTGCATACCTAGTAACATTCTCAATTTCGAATTACTACTTATTGGTGTAATTAAACGCTGCATTTACACGAAATTAACATTTTTATTGGAAGCACTGTCGTCGAAAATATTGTTTGTAGGTCAGACGTGAATTATTTCTTGTCCGCCAATATTTAGCTCTCATTGATCGCTACTACAAAGTTATGTCGTTACTTTTGATGGCAGCTGTCATTCTAATCAAGCTATATTGGATAGACTATAAGAGCATTGCAGTGCTCTCTAAATTTTGCTTAAAAGTATGTATTTGTTACAAAATCCACCTAATCTTGAAATGTGATATATCATTAGGTACAAATACAAAGTTTTAAGTTCCCTATTAAAGACTAGCGGCCGCCCGCGACTTCATACGCGTGGATCCCGTTTTACCCCCTTAGGGGTGGAATTTCGTAAAATCCATTCTGTGACGTAGGCATCCCTACATCATAACATCTATCTGCATGCCAAATTTCAGCCCGATCCGTCCAGTGGTTTGGGCTGTGCGTTGATAGATCACTATGTCAGTCAGTCAGTCAGTCAGCTTTGAGTTATATGTATACCTACATATATTTAGAGACTAGTTGTCGAATTACTCAAGAATAAAAAACTCCACTTGAGTAAAACTGCGGGAAAATACTAGTTTAGAATCCGAAAATTGAATCCATGAGTAGCTGTTATACGATCTAGGGTAACATTTTCCATCTCGTTAGACGACATCCCTTGATAACGTTAAATTAAATCGGGTGTCCTATTCTCAAATAATTTATGGCTGCTTTCCTTTTTATACAGAATAATGTTTTTGCTTTGATCTTTTATATTTTTGGGTAAATTCGATATTGATAGCCTTGCGTGTCACTTTATAAATGAAAAATAATCGGCGTTATTTATAAAATAGCAAATCATGTTGCAAATTGATAATGCTATTCAAATAAAGACTAACTTCAAAATGTTGTGTATATAAATTTTATCCTTTCATCCTAAAACCTTTAACTCGCGTCCGAAAATTACGTTAAAATCAATCGTCATAAATCCCTAACTCATTCACAAACGCTACACATCTGGCAGCATTTAAATCTTCGTGCGCTGGTTATATTCCGAAGAACTAGTCTAGATGCTGTTACTACACCATCCTGCTTTAATCTCACTAAACCATGTTTATTCTCTCGGAGTGTATCAGGGCGTGAAGCAAGTTTCCGTGCGCAATTTCCTCTGATACATTGCCATGTTTGATTTTATTCGCCTACGCTCTTGCTTCAAGTCTATGGTAAGCTCCACATGAACACGATAATGGTATATTCACGTTTGTAGCGTGTGCAAGGCGTGCTCCGTACGTGTTAGTTGTTGAGACCACTAAGCGCGCTTTCAATTTAGACGTTTCGTGCCGCGAGCCTGCCGCGCGTCTGCAGTAGGTACTGCGTCGGAATAATTGATAATTACCAATAGTTGGACTGAATTGCACCATTGCTTACCTACTTTAAACGGAAACTATGACAATAAACCGTGTCTTTTGTATGGAGTCTGACAGATTTTTGACGAAAGCTGAGCTAAGGCTGAGTTGCACCATCTTACTTAAACTTTGACGAACTTCAAAAATCTGTCAAACTCCAAACAAAAAGCACCGGTTATTGTTTTTGTTACGGTTAAGATAAAGTGGTGCCATTCAGCCTTAGTGTGCGATCTGGCGAATCCACGGAAACGCGCAGCAGGCGTCCGACACGAAACGTCTAATTGAAAGCGCCCTAGGAGCGTATTATTCAGAGGTTCAAGACTTAGTTAAATTTCGTGCATAAACTGAGACTTTTGATTGATTAAATTTCAATATTTAGTCACGGGACTAAATCTATTACTGAGATCGAATCGAGTTTTGAAAGTTGTTTTGTAACGGAGCTAAGAGGCCCATGTACACACCAATATCACTTTCACATACGGGACACTTGTCGCGCAGGCTACGTGACGTGATGCGTTTGTGAATAACTATTATAATAATCCCCTTAAAGTATTCGGTTCTACAGGTATCGAGGAACTCAGAGACTCAAGAGGAAATGCAGTAGCCGAATGGCCGCTCTCGTCGTCTCGGACTCTGCTCGACCACCGATCGCCGAGACAGCCTTCGCTTGCTAGCTGTCCCAAGTGCCCCCACAGCATGTACTACGATGGTAAGTTACGTTAGTTCACTTGATTCATACATCAGCATCATCATCATCTCAGCCATAGTCCACTGCTGAACATAGGCCTCCCCCAATGCTTTCCATACTGCCCGGTTGGTAGCGCCCTGACCATTGCCACTCGATTCACACATGAATATTTTAAATTTCTGTTGGAGTTGATTCAATTTTCTCAATTTAATCACATGTAAGAGTTTTGACCGAACTATTACTAAGGCTGTGTTCCACCATCTTACTTTAACTTTGACAAACGTCAAAAATCTGTTAAAATCCTTACAAAAAAACACCGGTTATAGTTACGGTCAAAGTGAGGTGGTGCAACTCAGCCTTAATGTGAAATGTTTTTTTTAACAAAAACAAGCTATCAAAACTTTACAGGATTGGCCTCCTGTGGGGTATTTACACAAAACCTCCCTTAATGCGTTTACATAAATATACTTTACGAATGAGTGACCCTGTATTAATTGAGGCAAAAGCTTCTCATTATTTCTTTCGTACACGCTTTTACCTAAAATAATTCAAGCAACAGATAATGAATGGTCCGGTAAGAGAGAGTCCGTGAGATCATTTGTGACTTTTTTACCTAAATGATTATAACTTTTGCAAAAGTTATTGTGTTATCAATTACTTCAATTTTGCCGTGTAACACTATTGTGTAAAGGTAAAATGGTAGCTAAATAGCTTTGTTCATCAAATATTGCGACTATCTCAGATATCCTTTTTATAGCACGGGTTTTGTATAACATAAATATTTGTTGCGGAATCATAAAAGAGCCTGCGTACCAGCAACAATATTAGTAATATTCAGAATTCCACTGTACCAAATATAAATTTGAGCGGTGATTCTAAATTGCTATTACAGTAAAATTGCTGCCATATTTTGCAGGAACCAAAAACGAATTGCCTCTCTTTTTTTATCCGTGGCCTATTTGTAGCAGACTTAATTTAGAAAGTCATACTTAGTTCTGGTGGTGGTGGTAATTTGAATTAATTCTAAATATTTGCTTTTTTTTTTAAAAAGAATATTAGTAATGTGTATTTAACAGATCATAGTCCTGAACCCCTGCCTGTGTTACTTGCACTTTTGCATTCTAGATGAGGTTGTAAACTATCTCTCAAGAATTGTATTCTTGTCACAAAGTAACAGTATAGGTTTAAATAAACAATTCAGTAAAGTAACCTTTATCACACATAAATCTTTCATGAGTGGCCCCAAACACGAGCTTCTGATAACACAACACCTTTGTTTCAGCGTACATTCACGGGAGGAAAGTGTAAATATGAGAAGAACAAACAATCCGAGGTACTAGGCACAGTGAGTGTTTGGTTTTTGTATTCATTAGTGAACACTTCTGTATAATGAGTTTTATAAAATCTTAAAAATTGAATTGTATATTTGAGGAATAATGATATTAATTGCAAGATGATCTTTCTGTGTATTAGACTATGTAAAGGAAACTTTGTAATAATACTGTAGATGTACGAAATGTATATTTATTAATCTTCAAAGATTCATTGGTGTAAATAAGTATTTTAATAATAATTACTAGTATAACTTTCCGGAGACCAGGATAATTATCTTCTGAAACTTAACTACTGCTTTTAAATGAAAACAAAAATGTTTCCCCTGAAAGGGCTAATTTGATTTAGATGTAGTTGGCGTAGTGATTGACATAAAATTTGTTTTGAGTCACAAGAATCTTTGATTTAATTTCTGTTCTGAATGTTTTCATGATTTTAAAGTCAATTAGCAAAAGTCTTTGTTACTTCAAAATGAAGGACATCTTCACAATAAACACTTAAATTGTCGTTTACGATTTTGAAAGCTCTTTTTAGGCGAAGAGTTCTGCGTATTACAAGTTGTATACCTGGTAACAGAAATTTTCTTTGAAAATGTAAAAAGGTATATTTTTGGACTACGAAGCTCGCAACAAAAAGTGGGGTTCGTTATCATTTTGCGGTGCTTGACCGGGTAAGTATTCCGGCATTTCAGAAAGTTACCTATTGAAAACTTTTTCGGGTCGTTTGCAGTGAAGGTAATATTTGCCAATTCTGAGATCTGTTCTCTACTTCGCGGAACTATCTAGGTGTGATAATATGAAAGAGGTATAGAGTCTATTTATCTAATTTATCATGCGGAGTAGATAGATTTGTAACACAAGAGAACCTTAGCAAGGTACGATCAGTAGGTACATTAATTGTATGGCATGACAGAACTTTAATAAACCTTGGTTTCACAATCTCGGTTGCCGCATAGTTAATAAGCACAATGTTTACTCTACATTATTCAATCTACGATAGCAAAAACTTTCGTGGAAAATTCTTTCCAATCTAATTATTTAAAATTCGGGTTAGGAAATTTTTATACTGCGAGGATTTGTTTTTCGTTCTCTAATTAAGTTATTCTGAGCTCAATTCCAGTGTTTTGTGGCAGCTTGACCTTGCCTTAATGATTTGTCTGAGACTTTAGATTTAATATTTGCAATTGTTTTGTTCTTCAAAAGGTTTATTTTGTGGTAAAAATAATGAATTGCGGGCTAAGCTCACAATATTTCAAAGTTTTTATTATTAAATTTCTTCGCAGGTTTTACATTTTATTAGTAAAATGAATTGAGTGAAAGCTAATTAAGTTTCATATGGCTTCTTTCGGCCTACTTTGAACCGTCTCTACTATCATCTATGCGTAAACATCTTTTCTATGTCAATGGCTGTTACTTCCTAATTAATAAAGTACCTACTTAATTCTATCTTTAATATAGGTATTAATTTTCTGTATACTGTGTGAGAGACAGCTTTTATGAGTATTTTCTTTGAGGTCAACCTATCATTAGGTATACTAGACATCTGACAAGGACATTATACTTATACGTTAGGTCCATAACGAATACTTATGGTCGTCATGATAGATATTAAAATTTATGGCTAGGCTTTAGAAATCCTATTTCAAATTGATTCACAATCGTGTCACGCTGTTGGTTCCAATATTCAATACTCTGCCTGTACTCAATAATTTATTGAATTCACAAAACATTCATTAAAAAGACAATCTAATACATTATCTTGTCAACTTTAGTGTTTATTGGTAAATATAACTTTGAAATAATGTTTTATTAGTTCTGCTCACAGCTGCGACTACATGATATATTTTATCTCTCGATATTCATATCTTAAATACTTAATAGGTTTAATATTTGATAAGTTACAGTCTGAAATAAATTTCTTTGTATTTTTAAAGCTCTACCGTCTGCGTTTCTAAACGTGTAGGTGGCTGGAATAAGGTGTCAATTGGTTATATGGCTTAGGTAATTTTATGTGTACTACTCGTTTAAACATTAAATACATTAACATAACGATTGAACTTTTTTTACCGGCGTAATTAATGTACATAGTAAAAATTACCAGTTTTATGATAAACTGGCATCCTTAGCAGTGTATCCTACTATCCTACTTCCTACTATAATATTATAATTGCGAAAGTTTGGATGTCTAGATGTCATGATGTCTGGATGTTTGTTACTCTTTCACGCAAAAACTACTGAACGGATTTTGTTGAAACTTTACAGTATTATTGTTTATAACCCAGATTAACATATAGGCTATAATTTATGACGACATGTGACCAACTAAATTTCAATAAATAAATAAGACGTGGGTAAAAAGCGCCATCTATCGTCATTGGTTAAAATCTTCAGCGCGGAACAAAAATTTTGACTGATATAATTTTCTAATTGCGACTAGTAGTAAAAGATCAAATAGCCATAAGATTAATTTATTCCCGATCTAGTAATCTTCTGCAGTTCCAACCAAATTTACGATCACTTCGTGGAATATCTCAATACGTGTGGAATGGAAATGAAATTGAAATTCCAGATCCGGCAGAACATTCATACATACTCGTATGCACGTATCTTGGCCTAATACCGTTTAGGTTATATTTAGAACAATAAAATAAATTCCTTTAAATACTACACTTCTGGACACATCTATAGGCCCACCTTAGAGTTTAGGTTTCGATGGCTCCTACCGAAATATGATTGCTAGATTGAACAAAAACTGTTGATGCAGTTTTAAACCTGATACATTTTAACATCCTTTTCGATCGTATTGTTTTAAATTTGAATTCAGTGTGCCTACCATGAGTTTACGTTAGGTGAGCTCGCTAGCGAATACGTCAAAAAATTATATGAAGATTTTATTTCTTGAAAGTAGCCGCTAGGGGCGCTGCACAATATGTCATACATTTAAATGTCATTTTTTTACGCAGTCGCTAGCGAGCACACCTAACGTAAACTCATGGTAGGCACACAGAATACCATACGACATGGAGCTACGCCTAACAAGTCGGATATGCGCCTTGTTAAAGGCAATTGATTTTTGAATAAAAAACATGTTTTATCAAATAAAGGTTTAATTTAATAACGCGTGTTGCCTCCATGGGCATCTACCACAGGCATAGAGTTTATCAACCGCTCGATGAAATTTTGAGGGATCATCTTCCATTCCTCTTCTATGGCAGTTTTCAACTCCTGCATCGTCTGGGCAACTGGCTGACGAGCCCTAACACGTCTTTTAGCTCGTCCCACATGTGCTCAATGGGGTTCATGTCTGGGCTTCTGGCTGGCCAGTCCATAACTGTGATGTTCACATCCCGAAGATATTCCCTGACGATGCCGGCTGCATGGGCTCTTGCATTATCATGCATAAAAAGGAAATTTGGGCCCACATAGTCCGCGTATGGTATCACGTGAGGTTCTAAGCACTCACTAATGTACCTTTCAGCATTTCATGTTGGCAGCCGTGGTCCTGTAACAACCTCAAGTTGAGTTTTGCCGCTCGCGGATATACCGCCCCAGACAGTCCATGAGCCACTGCCATAAGCAACCCTCTCTTCAAAGCAGCATTGTGCGAAACGCCTTCCCTTACGTCGGTAGACCTTCTTCCTTCCATTATTGCCATGTAACACAAT